CGATTGGTGTGCGTCTGAAGCGAACTCCAGGGCTGGATAACAATGAAAATGCAGCAGCGGATTCTGTTAGAAGGTCGACAGTGCGACTGATATTGACAACAATTGTGACCACAACAGTATTTACCGTATGTACTGCACCCAACAGCATCTACTTCGTTCTCGGGATATACTTCGATTTCGGCTACAAGGTGAAAAGTCCCGAACACACCATTACAACGTTCCTACAAGTGTTCAACTGTTGTTTAATGCCGGTGGTTTTTTTCCTCACATTGCCCAGATTGACAACCACAGCCAAGTTGGTTTTACTCAATACGTGGAGACGAGTACGTGGACAGGACACAGGTGAAAAAATATCTCAGTCTACAACAACAACAACCGCCAAGTTAACCTCGGTGGATGAACATGACAAAAAATTAAGATGCAGCTGTCTGCCACGTTAGCGGAAACAAGCTTCCTTCCAAAGTGGACTGCCTCGTCAAAATGATGTCACCCCTGGAATCTGGTGTTTATTTTGGCCCGAAGCACAAATGGTTTAGGCCACATTTCTGAAATCTCTTGAGTGAACTAGGCTCGAACACAACTTTCTACGCATCACCCATTTGCTTCATTTTTGTAGTATTATCAATGTATTACCACTGGAGTGTAAAATACAAAATATCATTATGAATATACAAACTGGACGCTTTGCCAACTGTCGAAGTGATTGGCGGAAACCTGGAACGAAATTACGTTCGTCTTGCTCAATTCTGCAAATCTAATTTTTCTTCTTTGAATCGCAGTCGCTTTTCCAGAGGTGCAAGTGAAATCAAATGTGCTTAACTGGACGTTCTAGTTTTAGATTTCCACATTTGAAGCGCTTAACGGCTCTTGCACACGGGGGAGCAAACCTTAACTTGTTCCCTTGCCGCTCAAGTGGTAGCACACAAAAGACCACACCAAAATGATTAACGTAGGGTTTGTTTTCAATCGGCCTCAGAGATGTCTTTAGTTTTTCCATAGAAAAGGTAGTGTTTCGTGGTGTAAGAGTGGTTGGAAGAATGCCAGTGTTACTCAACTCGTTGAGGCACTGATCTTTGCTGGGTGACTCTGAGTGAGCAAACTTCTACCGGTTTGGTTACGAATTAGTGGTACTACTGAATGTACAATTAGAAATGAAGTCGAACTTGTATTTTGAAATCTAATACAATCACAATAATCATCTTACCAGTAAGAAACCGGAGAAAGTGTTTTTCGATAACAGAATGAGTGCCTCCACCGAATATCGACGGATTAATTTTCAAAAGGGCGGACAGAATCAAGAAGGACAGTGGTAATCATGACAACCGGAAAATTATCGTATAACAGGGAAAAAAAAGTTTCTCATCAAATGCCAGTAACGCGCGCAATTTTTTGGCCGATACGTCCATCATTAAACAGAAAAAACGACTTTCTGTTCAAATCTTCTCCAGTCTCTGCGCTTACAGAATCTAAGATGTTGAACTTTGGGCCATGAATTCTGCAGGTCACACCCATTACGGGATACCTGAATAATAAGGAAATGCCAATTAGCTTTAACTTTTTCGTTATCAGTCCGCAGTTTAACAGTCATGTGAAAACTATCGATACAATTCGCCGCTGAAAGGACGTTCAATTGATGAACGACCAAGATGAAGGGACTGAATCTTCCGACAAGATCGAATTTTAGGTAATATTCTGGTGGTGACTATTGACTAGCTGAAGTTCTGAATTAACTTCAAATTTAGCCGCAGATGATTAAACTGTCATATTTGTAATGTACTACTCATAAGGTTGTTGGGTTTTAGGTGAGTCTCTCGAAAAAGACCAAATTAGTTTGCAAAGGAGTGTATATTCGCTAAACTGTCATTGTTTGGATGTTGTAACGTTCCATTTTTCTAAAATATGCTAACGGCACTTAAAAATCGTTGATTTCCAGCATTTGGTGCTTTTCCGAAATCTGTCTGACAATCCGAACTACATTTAGACTAAACCGGAATAACTTGAAATTTGAGGAATGTGCAAATTCGCTTCGTTTCCTTTTGGGTTTATGCACTACTTTTTCTTCGGAACAATAACAATATAACAGTAGGTATATACAGACTTCTCTGGTTATATCGACGCTTAGCATGGCGGTACTCTTTTTTTCAAAACTGGCAAATCCCCGAGAGGGGATTCTAATGTGCTATCCATCAACTGTCGTGTAACAGGGGCTGAAAGTAACTCTAGTAGATTAATGAGTAGTATCGCAATTGGTTTTGAGGAGTTTAGCTTATGGTGATTTAAGCATGTAAATGCTGTCTTCGCCGATCGATTTTAAAGAAACACAACTGAACCAGGACAAAAATCGCATTCGTCTGCGTTGGATACATATGTGACATGTACTATGGTTGAAGAGAACGTTCAAAATGGTGCCGTCGTGCGTCTTCTCCTTCTATCCTTATTCGAATCACCTGACGACCTTTCTACCAGATCCAAATCCGGCTAACAGTGCCAATCCATAATGGAATATTTGACATGCCTACATAGGCGCATCTTGCATGCTGAATGTCTGATGGACTGTAACATGCACGTCTATGTTTACCCAAATCACCTGCAAACAAGTCTCGTCACATCCACCCAATGTTCTGTGACTTGTGGGTCCGGGGGCTAAGCGGACTGACCGAATGAAGCAACCTGTCCCATTGTCCGGATCGCCATCCTGGAATTCGGCAGAATCATGAGGCTATTTTATTATTATAATCAAAGCAAGTGGACAGTTTTAACGATGCAAAACCAGATTACGCGTCTAATCACTGGTGACATCGCCAAATTGGCTAATAAAGCAATCCGGCCAATTCACCTGGGGTTGATCATGCAGGCGCAATTACATCGCACTTACACGTTCTCCACCTATATGTTTATACATATATATATATATATATATATATATATATATATATATAC